TCGCCAGGATGGTCTCGATTTCCTGACCTCGTGATCCGCCCGTCTCGGCCTCCCAAAGTGCTGGGATTACAGGCTTGAGCCACTGCGCCCGGCCTCTGGTTGTCTCTTCTTGAGAAAATCAACACACTCTATCCTGTTTTCCAGCTGTGGCCACCTGTCGCCCTGACGAATTCCAGTGCTCTGATGGAACTTGCATCCATGGCAGCCGGCAGTGTGACCGGGAATATGACTGCAAGGACCTGAGCGATGAAGTTGGCTGCATTAACGGTGAGCGCTGGCCATCTGCTTTCCCATCCCCCATTCTCCGTGCCTTACTGCTTGCAAATGATTTGTGAAGCCAGAGGGCACTTCCCTGGTCAACTCTGCACCAGCTGTGTGTCTGTGGGCAAGTGACCTGAGTTCCCAGAGCCTCACTTCCTTTTTTTTTAGATGGAGCCTCGCTCTGTCACCCAGGCTGGAGTAGTGTGGCACAATCACAGCTCACGGCAGCCTCTGCCTCTGGGGTTCCAGTGATTCTCCTGCCTCAGCCTCCCGAGTAGCTGAGATTCAAAGCATATGCCACCATGCCAGGCTAATTTTTTGTATTTTTATTAGAGACAGGGTTACACCATGTTGGCCAGGCTGGTCTTGAACTCCTGTCCTCAGGTGATCCACCTGCCTTGGTCTCCCAAAGTGCTGGGATTACAGGTATGAGCCACCACCCCAGGCCTAATTGTTTTGTATTTTTAGTAGAGATGCGGTTTTACCATATTGCCCAGGCTTGTCTCGAACTCCTGGGCTCAAGCGATCTGCCTGCCTCGGCCTCCCAAAGTGCTGGGATTACAGGCGCAAACCTCTGTGCCCGATGCGCTTTCTTAATGAGTCCATTTGCATGCGTTCTTATGTGAATAAACTATTATATGAATGAGCGCCAAGCAGACCGCGGGTCAGACACACCTGACCTTCCTCCTTCCTCTCTCTGGCTCTCACAGTGACACTCTGCGAGGGGCCCAACAAGTTCAAGTGTCACAGCGGCGAATGCATCAGCCTGGACAAAGTCTGCAACATGGCTAGAGACTGCCGGGACTGGTCAGATGAACCCATCAAGGAGTGTGGTGAGTCAGGGTGCAGGCGGCTTGCAGAGTTTGTGGGGAGCCAGGAATAGAACTGAGAAATGAGTGCTGTAGGGTTTTGGGAACTCCACGCTGCCCACCCTGTGCAAAGGGCTCCTTTTTTTTATTTTGAGACAGTCTCGCACCGTCTCCCAGGCTAGAGCACAATGGCGTGATCGTGGCTCCGTGCAACCTCCACCTACCAGATTCAAGCAATTCTCCTGCCTCAGCCTCCCAAGTAGCTGGGATTACAGGTGAATGCCACCATGCTGTACTGATTTTTGTATTTTTAGTAGAGCCGGGGTGTCACCATGTTGGCCGGGCTGGTCTCGAACTCCTGACCTCAAGTGATCCACCCACCTCCTGAAGTGCTGGGATTACAGGCGTGAGCCACCTTGTCCTGGTGAGATTTTGTTTTTTTTTTTTTACCAGCCCTCTGTGGTGGATACTGAAAGACCCTATTAGGATAACCGTACAGTACAGAGAACGCAGTGGGAAGTTTTCTCTGTCATATACCAGAGAGGGCCTGGGCACGGTGGCACACTCCTGTAGTCTCAGCTACTCAGAAGGTTGAGGAAGGAGGATCGCTTGGGCCCAGGAGTTGCAGGCTGTAGTGAGCTGTGATCATACCGCCACACTTCAATCTGGGCAACAGAGTAAGAGACCCTATCTCTAAAAAAAAGTAAATATTTTGGACACTGTGGGCCATACGGTCTCTGGTGCAGTTTCTCAACATGGCTGTTGGGTGAACACCACCACCCACAGAACGCAAACCAATACATGTGGCTGTGGGCCCAGAAAATGTTATTTATGGACACTGAAATTGGAATTCCGTATAACTGTTTTGTGTCACAAAAATGATTTCCCTTTTTATTTTTATTTTTCTTCTCAAATATTTAAACATGGAAAAGCCATTTTTAGGTCTGGCGGGATGGTTCACGGCTGTGATCCCAGTACTTTGGGAGGTCGAGGCGGGAAGACCACAAGGTCAGGAGATCGAGACCATCCTGGCTAACATAGTGAAACCCCGTCTCTACTAAAAATATAAAAAATTAGCCAGGCGTGGTGCCGCGCGTCTGTAATCCCAGCTGCTCGGGAGGCTGAGGCAGGAGAATCGCTTGAACGCAGGAAGTGGAGGTTGCAGTGAGCCGAGGTCACACCACTGCACTCCAGCCTGAGCGACGGAGTGAGAGTCCGCCTCAAACAAAAAGACGTTTGCTCATGCAGGTCTTGAACTCCTGGGCTCAAGCTATCTGCCCGCCTTGGTCTCCCAAAGTTCTGGGATTATAGGCATGAGCTACAGCGCCCAGACTTTTGTTGTTTTATATACATATATTTAAACTGCAGCAAAAAACATGTAATATAAAATTTACCGTCTTAAACCTTAGTAAGTGCACAGTTCTGTGCCATTAGCACATTCACACTGTTGTACAGCATCACAACCACCATCTCCAGAACTCTTTTTTAAAATTTTGTTTGTGATGGAGTCTCACTCTGTCACCCAGGCTGGAGTGCAGGGGTGTGATCTCTGTTCACGGCAACCTCTACCTCCCAGGTTCAAGTTATTCTCCTGCCTCAGCCCCCTGAGTAGCTGGGATTACAGGTGCCCACCACCATGCCTAGCTAAATTTTGAATTTGTAGTAGAGACGGACTGGGTTTCATCATGTTGGCCAGGCTGGTCTCAAACTCCTGACCTCAAGCGATGCTCCCACCTCAGCTTCCCAAAGTGCTGGGAATACAGGCACAAGCCACCGCGCCTGGCCCCAGAAATCTTTTATCTTCCCAAACTGAAGCTCTGTCCCCATGAAACACTCACTCCCCATCCCCTCCCCAACTCCTGGCACCTACCATTCTACTTTCTGTCTCTATGATGGCTCTAGGGACCTCCTTTGAGTGGAATCAGACAGCATTTTCCTTTTTTCACTGGCTTATTTCACTGAGCCAAGTGTGGTGGCTCACGCCTGTAATCCCAGAATTTCAGGAGACCAAGGCAGGCAGATCACCTGAGGTCAGGAGTTCGAGACCAGCCTGGCCAAGGTGGTGAAACCCCATCTCTAGTAAAAATACAAAAAAATTAGCCGGTTTTGGTGGTGGGTGCCTGTAGTCACAGCTACTCAGGAGGCTGAGGCAGGAGAATCACTTGAACCCAGGAGGCAGAGGTTGCAGTGAACCGAGATCGTGCCATTGCACTCCAGCCTGGGCGACAAGAGTGAAACTCCGTCTAAAAAAAAAAAAAAGAGAGAGAGAGAGAAACCCCGTCTCTGCTAAAAAATACAAAAAAATTAGTAGTCGGGCGTGGTGGCGCATGCCTGTAGTCCCAGCTACTCGGGAGGCTGAGGTATGAGAATCACTTGAACCCGGGAGGTAGAGGTTGTAGTGAGCCAAGATTGGCAGTGAAGGGATGGGTGGGGGCCTGAGAGTGACCAGTCTGTGTCCCCTGGCCCTGCGCAGGGACCAACGAATGCTTGGACAACAACGGTGGCTGTTCCCACATCTGCAACGACCTTAAGATTGGCTACGAATGCCTGTGTCCCGACGGCTTCCAGCTGGTGGCCCAGCGAAGATGTGAAGGTGATTCCCGGGTGGGACTGAGCCCTGGGCCTCCTCTGCACTTCCTGACATGGCGACTAAACCCCTCGTGCCTCAGTTTCCCCATCTGTTAAGTGGGCCTGAAAGCAGTTAGTAGGGCTTCATGAGATTCCACAGACATGGAAAACTATCATTGGCTGGCCAGAGGTTCTTGTCTCTGGGGATTAATAATTAAGAAATTTCGGCCGGGCGCGGTGGCTCAAGCCTGTAATCCCAGCACTTTGGGAGGCCGAGGCGTGGTCGGGCCTGCCAGCTTCGTGGGGATGTCCACGAGACTAGGAACTGCAGACCATCCTGGCTAACACTGGTGAAACCCCGTCTCTACTAAAAATACAAAAACTAGCCGCACGCGTGTGGCGGCGCCTGTAGTCAAGCTATCCGAGGCTGTAGGCCGGAGAGATGGCGTGCAACCCGGGACGTCGCGCGCGCAGTTTTCGCCAGGTGAGCGGCGCGAGTCGCGGTGCGCCACGGCACGCCCAGGCACTGGGCGACACAGCGAGCGAACTCCGTCTCAAAAAAAAAAAAAAAAAAAACAAAACGAATATTTCAGGGCCGCGCGTCGCGCGTGGGTGCTAGCCTCAATCCAGACACGTTCGGAGGCGGCAGACCCAAGAGCGGAAATCCTGACGTCGGGAGTCTTCGAAGCGGCAGTCCTCATATCCAACATGACGGAAACCCCGTCCGCTACTAAAAAATACCAAACATTAGCTGCGGCGTGGTGGCTCACGCTGTAGATGGGCCCAGGACCTACCCAGGACACGGGAGCTCGAGGCACGAAATCTTTTCGCTGCCGGCGCCGCGTTGCGGGACTGAGAGTTGTTGACATTGCCACTCCACGCCTGGCAACAACGAGTGAAACTCCGTCAAAAAAAAAAAAAAGAGAAATCTTCAGGCCTGATGACACTCTCCACGTTTGGTTGGTTCCTGTGGTGAGTGGTGGAGGTCAGTCATGGGCTGTGGGATGACACCTGCGCTGTTTCCTTGGATTCACCTCACTCTGGAGAGCCACGCTGTCCCCTGGCTTGCCTTCCGAACGAACTACCTGGTTTGCGCGCTGGTCGCCATTGGCTCCGTTTCCCACCATTGGGGACGGCAGTCCCGCGCCCACCGAAGCTCCTTGTCTCTCGCTCCCAGATATCGCTCATGTCAAGGCAGCACCGACACCTGCACCGCGCAGCTCGTGCCGTGCACCTGGAGGTGGACAGCTACACTGCCCAGTGATGAGGGAACCGGCTTCCAGCTGGACCTCACACCCAAGGCCTGCAAAGCTGCCGGCGGAGCATGGGAAGTGGCCGCGGTGGGCGCTCACCCCTTGCCGGTGAGGCAGTTTCATCCCTGAACTTTGCCAGACTCATATCACCCTGGCCAGGAGGCTGTTTCCTCCAATGGCTTCTGCGCAGCAGAGTCCGCTGCCCTTTAGCGCACTCTCGGCTTGCAGGCATGACTGCATAAAACACGTTCTAACAGGATAATCAGTCTAACAACAACCCTCCAGCCTGCTGGCTGAACAGGAACCGCCCTTTCCTTTCAGGGACAACCCTGGGAGTTGATCAAGGTGTTAAAGAAAAAAAAATTACCGCCAGGTCTCTGGTGCCCCGCACACTGTGGTCCTGCTTACCCTCCTGCGAGGCTGAGGCAGGAGGATTCGCTGAGGCTACTCAGGGAGGCCTGAGGGCGGCGACGATCGCTTGAGGCCAGAGATGGTTCCATCCTCCCAGTACCGTGCCGCGCCCCCTGCCGACGGGAGCCGGCACGGCCCTCAGGTCCGCAATGCGACGCATAGCCCCAAGCTACACCCCCTCATCACTATCTCTACGCGCTACAGACGGTTTCAGACACGCCGCCCGCGCCGGCGGACGAGAACATGTTGGCCAGGCTAGTTCGTCAAAGTCCCTCGAACCCCAAGGGTGATCCTCCTGCCTGGGCCTCCCAAGAGGCGCCAGGATTACAGACACCACACCTGGCTTATATTAGTTTTTAGACGTACAGGGTCTTGCTGTGTTTTCCCCTGCTAGTGCGCTGCACCACTCCTAACTCTGCCTTGACATCCTCGCGTTCCCGAATAACTGCCTACCTAAGCCTTCTGGACTGCTGGGACTAACATGGCCCTGTGCCACCATACCTGGGTAACTTTTTTTTTTTTCTTTTTTTTTTGGGGCCTTTTTTATCTTGATTCACGAAGATCTCAAAGTCACCAAGCAACGCGCTGGAATCGTGAAATCGTGGTGGCAACGATCTTGGCCACCAGCAAGCCTCGCCACAACTCCCAGGTTCAAGCGTTCTCCCTGCCTCACCTCTTCCCAGGTATCTCCTTAACGGTTCCCATTACCAAAATAGGCTAGTATTATTCTTATGTACGTATTAGCTTAGAGATCGCCGTTACTTACCTCTGTTTTTTTATTTTTTATAGCACGGAGTCTTGCTCTGCACCCGGGAGCATGACTGACAGTGCGTGAACTTGGCACTCACTACAAGGCTACCACCTCCAACTGGCGTTTAACGCCATTCTCCTGCCTCAAGCCCTTCCCGATAGACTGAGGGACCAGGACGCCGCCACCTCGCCGGTCTAGTTTTTCTTGGATATTTTTAGTACGAGACAGGGGTTTCACCGTGTACCGGATGTCCTCGATCTCCTGACCTTGAATGATCCCGCACCATGCCATTCCTCGGCTCCCACAAGTGCTGGATTACAGGCACTATACGAGCCACCGCGACACCGGCCCAGACGACAGGGCGTTTCAACCACACTTGTTACGCAGCGCTAGTACTCGAAACCTCCTAGAACATAAAGCTCACTGCATCGCGCACCACCTCAAGCCATCCAAAAGATGCTGGGATTACAGAGCTTCGAGCCACCGTATGCCCGGCGCGCAAACGTTTTGTTTTCTATTCTTTTTTTTTTTTCTTTGAGCACGAGTCTGGCTCTGCTCGCCAGCGCCTGAGTGGCAGTGGCCAGTCTCAGCCTCCACTGCAGCTGCCGCCTCCCGGGTTTCACGCCTATTACTCCTGCCTCATCCTCCCGAGTACGCTGGGACCCTATACAGCATCCGCCACATCGCCGGCTAGTTTCTTTGTATTTTTTAAGTAGCGACGGGTTGTCACCGTGGTTATGCCAGGACGCTCGAATCGCTCCCTGACCTTGTGATCGCGCAGCCGTCTCGGCCTCCCAAAGTCGATTACAGGCTTGAAGCCACCCGTCCCGCCACATGGTTTTTTTTCTTTGTTGTTGTGCGTAATAAAGTCTCATTGTGTTACCCAGGCTAGGACTTACACTCCCAGAAAAGTGATCCTCCTCCCTCCAGCCTCCCAACAAGTGCGACTTACATGTGGCTCCACTGTGCCTGCTTCCAAAACGAATTTTCAGGAAGTTCTTTGTCCATCCTGAGTTTTTCCTGGGTTGCCTCCTCCTGCTCAGCTGCACCGCTGCGCAGGGTGACACGACGGGATGGCGGAGGCACCTCGCGTTCCTTGCCGGGTTTCCTTGCCCCCCTCACCTTTGCTCCCCGGGTCCCCAGGCTCCATCCCTACCGCCATCTACAACCGCGGCCGCGGCAGGAAGACTGACCGGGAGCGCGCGGCAGTGAGTAAGCAGCCAGCTCACTGCCCAACTGAGGAATGTGGTCCGCCTCTGGACACGAGGTGCGCCCAGCATAGAATTACTCGGTCACCTGTCCCCCAGCGAATGTCCTACAGGTGAGCGCCCTGCCGCACTTGGCCACAGATGCAGATGAGGCAGCGCTCCCCCCGGCCCTGACGCCCTCCTCTCCTCCTGCCTCACACCCCAGTTGACAGACCGCCCACAGCGTCTCCTCCTACGCACACCGTCATCCAGCAGGGACCTCGCAGCCCCGCGACGGGCTGCTTGGACTGGATCCAATCAGCCCCATCTACTGGACCGACCTCTGTCCCTGGCCACTGTCTCCGTGCGGATAACCAAGGGTAGAGAAGAGAGCGAAAAGCGTTTAATTCAGAGAGAACGGCTCAGAGGCCAAGGGCCATCGTGTGTCGGCTCCCTGCTTCATGGGTGCGTATACTTACGACGCTGAAGGGTTCAGAGGCAAGGAAGGGAGCGGAAGGGGCTATCAGGAAACTGGACTTAATGGGCTGGCAGTCGCCCGGGACTCAAAGTGCCCTGTAATCACCAGCACTATTGGGCGATGCTGGCTGAGGCGTGGCATCATCCTGAGGTCCAAGAGTTCACACGACTCGCAGCCTGTACCAAACGTGGTGAAACCCTCTGCTCCTTACTAAAGAATACAAAAATTCACGCCGCCGCGCTGCTGGTGATCTCGCCGCTGTCAGTCCCAGCGTGCCGGAGCCTCGAGGTGGGCGATATGGCCACTCTGAACCGCAGCGACGCCGGAGGCTTGCAGTGAGCCAAGCGAGCCCTGCATGCACTCCCAGCGCTGTGTGAACAGCGAAAGCAGACTCCGTCTCAAAACGAACAAAATCAAAAAAAAGAACTGTTAGTGGTTAGTGGCTAGGCCCCAGAATGGTATCTTCCAAGCCCGTGGCTGACTCAGCAGCTCCTGGGACAAGGCACTCTGACCTGTGTCCCCTGGCAGGAAGCATCGCCTCTGCCGCCTGCCTGGCGTACTCTGTACCTGTCAGGCGACATCTGCCACCTGAGCACGTGAGAGGTGGCACCTCAGTTTCAGTGAGGCGCTGACAAGCCGGGATGCACACCGTCCTCACAGCCACCATCAGGAGGTGAATGTTCGGTCTCGGGCAGAGATCACTGGAGAAGGCACACTTGGTGTCCGGCAGGGGAAAGCAGGGAAGAGAGCATCATTTAGATGGAATAGAACTTGCCTGCGGGGGAAGGTGGGCCCGCGAGGGCCAGCGTCCCTTTTTATTTTTATTTATTTATTTATTTATTTATTTATTTATTTTTTTTGAGACGGAGTCTCGCTCTGTCGCCCAGGCTGGAGTGCAGTGGCCGGATCTCAGCTCACTGCAAGCTCCGCCTCCCGGGTTTACGCCATTCTCCTGCCTCAGCCTCCCGAGTAGCTGGGACTACAGGCGCCCGCCACCTCGCCCGGCTAGTTTTTTTGTATTTTTTAGTAGAGACGGGGTTTCACCAGGTTAGCCAGGATGGTCTCGATCTCCTGACCTCGTGATCCGCCCGTCTCGGCCTCCCAAAGTGCTGGGATTACAGGCTTGAGCCACCGCGCCCGGCT